GTCTGATTTTAGAGCCGTCTTATAAAAGTGACAAGTTGTCTCCCCGTCACCTTACAAGAGAAACTCTTACTAATATGGTTCAAACCCGGGACGTTCCAATGAGGCATAAAGTTACATGCTGTGTGGTTAGCCTGTCCAGCCCCCAGTGCCTTTTTTTTATCCCGCTTGAGCCGCGTTTAGAGTAGGAATAATTAAATTGTTATAAAAAAGAGTAATTTTTGCATTAGAAATTTTCTCTTTTTTTAAGATTGAATAAGAATGTGACTTTCTTTAAAATAATCTTAAAATTCATAGTAAGAAATAAATGATAAAATTTAAATTTTTTGAATGACGACACACACGGATATAAGTTGTGACGTCACCCGGTAGTATGAAATTGTCCCGGGCACAGGTGTGGCCTACGCCGGCTTACCCGTGACAAACGACGCGAGATAAACACCGGTTATAATTAGATACGTTGTGTATAACACACGGTATAGATAGGTTTGTGTATGTACATACACAAACCTATTTTGAGTTACAGGTACCTACGTAGGTACCTGTAACTCAAAATAAGAGAGTTTAAGGATCACTCGACCCTCTTTAGGGACCCTATTTTTAGCCAGGGTTGGTACTGTCAAAAACATCAAAGCATAAGCAAATCGATACAGCAAAATCTGATACAAGAACGTCATATGATTCTGAGCCAATTTTAATCTCAGAAATGTGACGTTCATGGCAACTTCTTAGTTACCTCTCAAATCAGGAAAATGGCGCTAGGCGTTACCTTGAGTTCCTCTGAGATTCCAGTTTTTCCCAGTTAAAGTCGTCTCTAGTATTAAGTGAGCCATCTGTTAAGCGCCCCGCGCGCCGTATCCCTAATGTGTGCCCAATGGGCAATGCCCATTGCCCATAGACTGTTTTAAAACTTGTTTAAGTAACTGTCAAAAGGAATTGGGATTTCATGTGCATCGCACTTTCATGCTAGCTTGATAGGGCTGCAAAATTTGTCACTACGTATGCAGCTAAAGGCTATGCTAAAATAATAAAAATGTTACTATGAAATGAGATTGATGTGAGAAAATGGATTTGTAAATGTGAAAGGCAAGGCAATAGAAATCGACATGTCTAAATCCTTCGCCACTAGGAAAATTCAAAGAATACTAGCCTATTGCTGCTAGAGCGATAAAAAAACTGAAACGGCCGATTAATGACTGTCTAATCTACGACGGATAAAGCGCTTTTGCGCGAGTACAAATTTATATTTTTTTATTTAGTATGTGAATGAAACTTAAACGAATTTAAATGTTTACAGTTTAATTATTTAGTTTTGTAAAGTTATAACTCTTTGTAAATTTTAAATTAAGTACATAAAATATTTAATTGTAACTTTCAGAAACATCTGATTTACACTGAAACTACAGATAAGTACTTACTATTATTTATTTAAAACCTTGAGGCAAACTTTGACTTTGTTCATAACTTTTATTTGAACTTTTAAGCAAAGCCTTTCTCTTAAAATGTCTTAACGGTTTATCTTTAGTAACAAACGATGAAATATGAATACTTAATTTTAAATCCAAAGTTTCTAGTCAAGATGCGGGCAAACAACGCCTTAACTTGCGTTTATAGCCTAGTACTATTATATATTCTGAGTTTATAGCCTAGACCACATTTCTAGGCTTTTATGACAGAGACTAACTTTGCTTTTGGGCCCCTTATTTATTATAATAAAGGTTAGTTTGTATTATGTCTGTTTCTAAACAACATCTGCTTAAATTGTTTTACAAAACCGCTACATCATGGCTTGTTATTATACATTGTGGTTGTATCTAAATAGTCTTGTATATTTGAGAAACTTTTGCAATTCAGAAAGTCTAATATGAGATCTGCTACGGTTTCTTTCTGCGTAGCAAACTGCTACGAAACTAATACATTGTATCTGTCGCAGTACGATGGCAGAATCAGGTTTTTGGCCAAAAACCGTGGTTTTTGGCCAAAAGCCGGCATATGGCAGAATCGTAGACTTCGTGCGGCCATCGTCCTAAGCTGATCCAGGTTTTTGGCCAAAAAACTAGGATTTTGGCCAAAAACCTAGGATTTTGGCCGAAATCCTAGATTTGTTTAGTATTATGACTTTTTTTGCATTTCGGGGAAACTTCTTCGTCTTCGAGTGGTACACCAAGTTGCCCAACGACCTGATGAACCCTGGTGTCGGAGTTTTTAAACCGCTTACTGCAAGTAGCAGGCCTCTGACATGGTTGTTTAACGACCGCCGTCTAAGTGATCATAGAGAGCTATCGGGACCGACGGTTTAACATGCACATGTAGTTCGGGCATACACCTCGAAAGGCAGGAGGTAGCTTTGGACGTTCTGGAGGGTGGGAGGTAGCGGTCAGACGCCCTGGAGGGCGTGGGTAGCGTCGGACACTCTGGAGGATGAAAGATGACAGACGTTGGATTTTCTGGGGGTCCGACGCTATCCCCTGTCCTCCAGGGCTACCAACGCTACTACCAATCCTCCAGAGCATTCAGTGGTACATCCTGCTCTTATGGTGTCTGACGCTCCCCCCTGCCCTCCAGGGTATCCGAGGCAATCCTGCTGTTCAGGCTATCTGATGTTACTCCCGTTCTTCAGGGTGCCCAACGCCTTCTCGGTGACCCAGTCTACCCTCAAAAAATCAAAGGGAGGTGCATAAAGTACCTCTCCACTCCTCGTTACCCCGAACTACACAGGCACAGTAAGCCGTCGGTCCCGATTGCTCTCTATGATCACTCAGACGGCGGTCGTTACACAACCATGTCAAAGGCCTGCTACTTGCTGTAGGCGGTTGAAAAACTCTGATGCCAGAGTCCATCGGGTCGTTGGGCGGCTTGGTGTACCACTCGAAGACGAAGAAGTTCCCCCGAAATGCAAAAGAAGTCATAATACTAAACAAATCTAGGATTTCGGCCAAAATTCTAGGTTTTTGGCCAAAATCCTAGTTTTTTGGCCAAAAACCTGGATCATCTTAGGATGATGGCCGAAGGAAGTCTACGATTTTGCCATATGCCGGCTTTTGGCCAAAAACCTAGGTTTTTGGCCAAAATCCTAATTCTGCCATCGTACTGCGACATATCGATATGATGTAGAACTATACTACATTTGAGACAGCCTTTGGCTGCATTCTCTGCCAATTGACAGTTGTATGGCGCTCCCTTTCTCACTTGAGTTTACCACCAAGTAGGAAAGAGAACAACATACAACTGTCATTTGGCGGCGAATATAGCGAGTGGCCGTCTCAACTATAAGGTAGTTGAGCTAAACATAGACAGATTAATACTTGTGCAAATTGTATGTCAAATTCACAGTTAATAATATTCGCTCCTAAGCTGCTACTGCTATTTACACGACTATAACTAGTTACTCATCGTTCGTCTATCTAATGAGATGCTTTAGATGCAAACAGTGGATTCTAGTTACAGTTTACCAAGTCTATAATTACTGCAATAGGATCTAGAAACTTGATGCGGTCGCGTGCTTATATCGTATAACCAAGTAATGTCAACACCCTGCAGTATCTTTGAAACATAGGGCGTATTTAGATATCTTAGGAATTCGTAGGCCCATATGACTCTTGTACAGGGTGTTAATAAAAGAAGTATGTTCCTTTTAACCACGAGTTCTGTAGGTATAACAAAGTATCTTGATCATGTTTAAAAAATATTATATTCGAAAACTTTTCATTAAAATGTTCAACCCTAGGTCTGAGCGCGACAAAGCTCGTCGTCACAGTCACATACAGCTGTGGTTGTACCGTTGTAGACCTTATTGCGCGCGGCGAATGAACGTTGCAAAGTTATCCGAGCAGTACTTGACTGTACACTGTACTTAAGCTGTAGGGTTGAACAATTACATTTAAAGTCTTTGAAAAATGTTTTCATCTTCTAATGTTTTTATAAATTGTTTGAACACCCGTATACCTAAAGAACGTGTGGTTCGAAGAAACGTACTTTTTTACCTAACACCCTGTAATATTTATGATGAAGAATTAATTACCGGTATTATGCTTAGTTTTAATGACATCCCGCGGGTGTCGTAAAAACCCACGTCGAGCCTTGAGGAACTTGATGTAGGTGTAAGTAATTGTGGGCAATGTGTTGATACTTAGCATAAGGCGAGAAACACACGTAACGTCCTTTTGTGCGTTATTTTTGCGTGCATGCGTCATATATGACAATACTAATTTCGACCTTATTCTCATGAAAATACGGTTTGAGAGTTACATTCGTGGACGCAGCGATGTCTGATGTGCAGCGCTAGATGGCAAACCGTTTGACATAATCGAGATTCTCCTGGAAAAACTACATCAAAATACTGTGTATTTTTTACACACATAACGTCCGTTTCGACGTTATTTTTGCACTACGCTATCGCAGCGTTAGGAAAATGCGAATTTCCACCATAACCTCGTAACGCCCAAGTTAAGTTAACGCTAACTATTTTGAACAATAGGATGTACGTTGGGGGTTACAAGGTTAATCCCAAATGAAATTATGACGCATGCCCAACGGTGCGATGACGAATGCGTCTGTAAAACCGTTAGACAAAAAACCATCCCATTTGACAGACATATCCGTCGAAACGGACGTTATATGCTTGCTTTGGCCTTATTTAAATATCTTCAACAATATTTGATGAACATGCCCAAATGAGCTAACATCAGAAATAATAAAAAAAAATCTTAACCACACAAATGATAATCTTTCACAACATCATAAGCATGATTGATGATGGTGCCGCAGGCGATAATTTTAATGGTGCTTTTAAATATCTGTTTCTTTTGGGTGTACTTTATGCGGTTTTTGTGTTTGTCTGTGGCAGTTAAATGAAACGAGGGCTATGACTTTCTCATTGACAGTAGCAGGAGTAGTAAGTGTAGTAATATTTTCCTTAATGGCGCTAAGCTACCCGTAAGTAGTCAAGTGACAAAAATATATGAACGAAGCAAGTGGTTCACAATTTCGCCGCCTGGGCTAGAGCCGCCGTTGTGTAGCGGTCAAACGCGTGTGACCCGGCTTGTCAGAAGACGTGGGTTCGAATCCCATCGGTGGCGTGAATTTTTTCCGCTTGCTTCGTTTGTATTAACTTTGTAACCAAAAAGTTAATATTATTTTCCTTATTTCTTTCATATTTTGGACGCCTCATTTTAGGCCACACAAACGTCTAACCTAACAAGAGCGACAAGGCTGAAACGCCCCAAGAGACTCAAGAGATCGTCCTTGTGTCACTAAACCCTTATCATCACCCGCCCTCGGGCTTCAAATAGGAATATAGAGTTAGTAAACTAGAGGTGTCAGTGAATTGACTCATTTGCTGATTCAATTCTTCATACTTATGTCACTTAATCTTTTTATCATCCCATCACCCACCCTCAGTCTTCAAATAGGAATATAGAGTTAGTAAACTAGAGGTGTCAGTGAATTGACTCATTTGCTGAGTCAATTTTTCATACTTATGTCACTTAACCTTTTTATCATCCCATCACCCACCCTCAATCTTCAAATAGGAATATTAAGTTAGTAAACTAGAGGTGTCAGTGGTATTATTCAGTAAAGTGATTCATAAGATCAGTTTACTGAGTCAAAATCATTTTAAAAGTGATGGAAATAAGTACAAGCTTGAAGCGTTGTTCTTCATTGACACCATAACCATCATTTGACACTCTACACTTGTTTCGCTCTTATACAAAGTATCATCAGGAGATCTTCTACAGCCAAGTTCCGAGCACCAATCATATTATGTAGGTATATTTGCATGAAGTTGCGGTCTTACATGTGTTTCACTCAGTGGCATAACCTGCCATCACAAGCGCGGAAGAAGCAAAACATATTTCTATAACTTTCTTCAAAATGGACTGCTGCAAAAAACGCCTGATATGATCTATTACTTTTTAGTTAAATTCATTGTCCTTGAGCTACTAAACCCTTAATATTATCACCCACCCTTGGGCTTCAAATAGGAATATAGAGTTAATTAACTAGAGCTGTCAGTGAGTTAACTCATTTTCTGAGTCAATTATTCGTCCTGGTATCACTAAACTCTTATCATCACCCACCCTCGGGCTTCAAAAAGGAATGTAGAATTACTTAACTAGGAGTTCTAGAGCTGCTGGTTATTTGATTCACTGATCTGACTCAGGACATGAGTTCAATTGTGTCATTATCACTCCCATTTTGGGAATTGTCGCAATTATAAATAGTATAGCATAGCTTCTAGAAGTGTTAGTGATATGATTCACTGAACTAAGTTTCTGAGTCAATTGATTTACTGAGCTGATTCGTTGGAGTAACACTGAAATTTCATTTCATTCGTTTGATTCGTTTGAAAGAGTTAAAGTAAAGAGACTAAAAACGTCTTTACGTGATGTTGAAGTTAGTAAAATCTGTTAATTTTTACGTATGAGTCAATTATCAATTCTTTTCCACGATCGCATACCAGCGAATGCAGAGCAGTGCCAGGACTGTTTCATTACAACTTGCTACTATTAAATTTAAAAATATTAAATACGTTATGGAGTTATTGAGGATAAATATAAAATTCCTTTTTTTTCTTCGAATCGACTTGAAAGATCCATGACTTGAGTCAAAGGCACAACCCTACAAAGTAAGGAGCCAGTAATTTTGAGGTTGACAAGTCAGCAAACGACACGCGAAGCCGATTTCAAAGTCCAGTGTTTAGCCGACTTACAAAGTGACATGCGATGATAAGTTTGAGCTTGGTTGCGGTCCTGACACTAAAGGAAATTGGGTAATTTTGTAAAGTTCTAGGCTTCAACTGCCATCATTTCAACCTACAAAAACTACGTTTTCCGAGGCTTCATTGAATTTCGGCTTTTATATAAGAAATCAATTCAAACAATAACATAAGCATCCACACATCCATATATCACGCCTATTTCCTTTGGGTAGACAGAGCGTAGACGAATGTTAAAAACGACCATTTACACAAAGTCTTAAAAAAGTTTGTGAAACTTACAGAAGGCTGTGTATCAGCATAGCCTGTAGCCTAAAATTTCAATACACATGCACTCTCACATTCCTTACGAGATTCACGGTAAAGATATTGGGTGATGCTATAATAGTCGGTATCACACGGCATAAATAAATTACTATTTTAATAAACTTACACTTTCAACAAAAAACAAAATTCAACATTACCCGGATACCACTGACTCAACACAGTCTGCCAATACCATATGCTTTCAGAAGCACAAAGAAGACTATTCAACCTGAGATTCTGAAAGAATTTTTCCGTTGCTCTCCGAGGAATATACTTTGCTCTGAATACTCTGCATATTTCCATCTCTTTTCTCTTAAAAGCTTTGATATGGGAGCAGGTTGATTTTAGAATAATGCTTCTTTGATATTAGTTTACGTAAAATATTGTTATATATGAAACGTGAACGAAAAAGTTTATCCTCGCTCGAATATGAAATTGAATATTGTTACAAATATTTTGATAGTAAATGGTGTTAGTGTCTTGCGATATTTATTTTCTTTCACTAGATTTTATTAAAATAGCATAGCAGGTACCATAAAATTAAACAAATTTTAAATAAGCACACATTTAGGCCCACAGGCCACAATACTGCAGCGTAGTTTTTTATATTAATACGTAACCTTGAGAAAATCTCTGTTAAAATATCTTTGACGTCCCCCTACATAAAACAATAGAGCAATTTGGACCTGGAACTGCTGCCAGAGTTTTTACCGCAACGCACTGGCCTCTGACTTGTAGGCCCTAGTAAGCTGGCCATAATTTTGTCACTGGCACACTGCGGCCACACTAAGCTTCGTCCCGCACTAAAACTACATAAATCGTAGCGCGCCTAAATGTCGGTTTGACCAAAGCTTTACTGTAATCGACAGCCGATGGTAGATACTAAAGGTATTACAGAAGGTTTGCGATGGAGAAACTATATTAAAACCGTACTGTTACCTCCTTAGGTTTCGTAGTTATCTGACACATGGATTGATAAGAGGAAGAGCAAAGCTAAACTTCAATTTTCTTCGTGTTTTCAAAACCCTATCGATTCGATACTATCGAATATGCATATTGATTCGATATTATCGCGTGTTTGTTGTCGATGACGATATAATATAAAGTTCAGTTATTATTATATCGAAATATTGTCAAGAAATTGTGTTAGTCAAATATGTATTGGATAAATATAATTTACATAAACATGTCAACTATATACAACAACAAAAAAGAAAATGGTGACAGCCTAAACTAACCCAAAATTATGGGAAGAAAAGTATTATAAACGATTATATCTGATAAAACATGGAATTTTGACTACTATAACTATATGGTTTTTTAATAAAGGTCACAGACTCATAGAGGTTTAAACGACCTAAAGAAACCTCTTCAAAACAATTATTCTCAAATGCCTTATTAAACAGCGCTCCTGGATACAAAGAGGGTAGAATCAGCGAAACGTGTAATGCCAAAAATAATACCCTGTTTGTCTTCCTGAAATCGGTTCTGTGAAAAGAATTCGGGCACCTACCTACCTACCATTTTATCCGAATGAACAATCTTTCTTTTCTCTCTTTGAATTCAATTTGATACTATGGGTTTTTAATATAAAACTCAGAAAGTATTTTTGTCGCAATAAAAAGAAACAAATATTTGACATAAAGTGATTTGAAAAAGTGCATTTAATGTTAGAACGGTTAGAACCTATTACTGTCACTTTTACAAAGGTCACGAAGTTCTAATATTCTTAACCACGTTTTATAATTAAAAAACAGTTTATGAGTTTAAAACAGTCAAGACAACTTACTAAATACCTGTGTACTAATGTTTGCATAACACACTCTTCAGAGAATTTCTTGTTACAAAATCAACCTCAATACTTGTTAAAACATCATATGACTAAATTCTATCTCGATTTCTAGAATACAGACACAAGTTCTTAATCAAAATCCTAATTTTATGATAAACCTGCGACTTACTATCGAACCACAACATTTTCCGGTGCATAGCTTTGGTCACTCTTTAATATAAGTAAAGCCGTATTTAAAGAATAAATAAATAAATAAATAAAAAGATCTTTATTTATCAACAGCAACAAAGTACAAACATGAGCTTTAAAATTAAACATATTATGTTGATAAAAAGGTGAACAACTCAGCATTTCTGCTGTTTTTCAGTGTAAACCTAATTTAATTTGGCAATATTACTTTGGCAATATTACTATATAAACAAAACGATCATGAACCCACGAAGGTATTGTAACAACGTGCATAAATTATTCAGATAAATGCGAATGTTTGTTTAGTCCATCCAATATTACAGACAAGAGATTTTGTATTACACTCGCAATCATATGTAATGAAATGACATGACCAGTCTAAGCGGGAGGCCAAATTATGTTGGTCGCAATACTTAGATGCTACGCGACCAGCGTAATAAGGCTTCTCGCTCAGGCTGGTTATGACACTATGATCTTGAATGAACTTTATTATAGTCGTCAGACAGATACCACATCGCATTATCCTAGAGCAGTCTACTGCGATTAACGTAAGACGTTTTCTTTACACACAAGAATTGAGTCGCGAGACGTAAGATGACATTTTGTACCAATTTGTACCATAGTTTACCTGCGCACACCATGTCCTCTGGATTTCTCAAAGGTTGACTGGTAGAGATCCCTTAATTGGATAAGTCCGCCTTTGTGCCTACACATTAAATTAGTTTATTTAAGTGTTTTTTTGTAACTACTTCTTGTTTGGTACAATAAAGTTATTACATACATACATTTTCTGACAAGTGACTGCCTCTAGCATTGTTAGTAATTTTCTTCTTCTACTTTGATTAAGAGCCTGGCTCTTGTCGGTGGAGTATACGCCATTCAGTTCTGTTCTCAGCCAATGACTTGACATCGTAATTTTACTGTGTCATACACATAGAAAGTCCCTAAGAACAATAACTAAAGGTCCTAATCCTACTGTTCAACTGTAAATGTTGACATTTCGCAATAGCTATATACGGGTCGATATGAGAAGTAAAATTAAGAAGGTTTTATTTCGAATTTGGATGAAATTC